ACAATATTACACTGGTTCTCCCTGAAGTAATATATACTAACTGGTACCAATATGATTGCAGCAGGTATTGCTTTATTTGTGGTGCCCACAGTTGCTGATATAAAACCTTCTTTATTGCATCAGCTACATCTTCTTTCATTTCTTCATGTTCCCATTTCTATATCCTTTTAATCTGCATTTATATGTGAAGGCTAGTATCAGTATATTATCAAAACATGTATTTTAGACTAGGAGCAAGGACATATAGTCACAGGCGCAGAAGAAGGACAACAGGAAGGAAACCGTCAGGAACATTGGCTGCTGTAGGAAAGGTGGTGCTTACCCAAAGGATCACCTTTATTCTTAAGTAATGATTATGTTTGGATTCTAAACCCTTTAAGATGAGTGACTCCTAGGAAGTAATTCTGTTGGACCTGGGACCCACAATTTCACCCGAGGAAAGAAGTTTAAAAAATGAGCATGGGAAAGCAAATACATCCATTTCTCTGGGCAGGTTGGGCTAAGGGGTGAAGGCGATATTGGACAAAAGTTTGAATTTATCCCACCCCATTAAAAATATTACAAGTTTGTGTTTCAGTGCTCAGCTCAGAAACAGGACTGGTGAAGGTTTGTGTTGGATTTTTCTCATTCCAAACTTAAAACTGCTTTGAATTCATGGCAGTGTTTGGGCCTCCTGGATTTTTTTGAACCCCTGTCTAGCAAGTTTTTAAATTCAAAGATACAATTAAATGAAATCAAATACTATGATTTGCAGAATATACACTATTAACTGATCTTTGCTGATCTTCCTCTGCGTGCTCACTGCATTAATCACTGATCAGCTTGTTAGTGCAAGGCGATAGGTAATTTTTCACCAAGAAAGAAGTATAACAATGGTTTTCTTTGATTTTTAAATATAAGAAAATTAACAAGTGCCCAGACAAATTGATGACAAAAGGAAACGGCACTTTCCATGACTATCTTTAGTCTTCTTACTGCAGTGGTGAAAGTTTGGCCAGTTATGGGCCAGTTCAGAGGTTAGAGCAAACTTCTGCAAGTTTGCTGCTCTGGCAAGGCGAGTCCTGTTTTTTTTTTTTTTTTTTTTTTTTCTGCTGCTTATAATAGTCATCCCAAGGAAATCAGCACGGCCAAGCTAAACAGAATGGTAAACCAAAAGAAAAACAGTTGTCATTTATTCACTATCCAGAGAGAATTTATTTATCTACAAAGCACCATTCATGTTGTGATTTATTAGTATTAATTCTTGATAGACATGTCTGGTCTGATAAATGTGAGGAAAGTCATCTTTTTGCTCAGTTCAATAAAACCTGAAGAGATAACATGTTCTAGATAACATAAAGACTGTCACTTGGTTGTGTGGTAATAACTTTTCAAATGGCATGGTCTGGTACTAATATAGCTGCATACTGTGTCTCTAAAATTTGAAAAAGAAGTTGCTGCTGTAATGATTTTTGGCTTTACATTGGCTAGTGTTTAGAAGGTGGAATTTCTATGTATGTTTAACTCATTAAAACTTCCTAAATAAAGAAATAGTTATTGATGCTTCCAATGAAGTATACTGTAAGCTAAGCAGATGCTTAGTGTAAGCTTTAATAACTATTTATTCAGCTGGTACTTCTGTCTTAAATCCAATATCGGTATTAGAGCACAGGAAAAAACAGAAGCTTTTGATACAGCTCGTTAAAAAGCTGGGACCAACTAATCCTTCTCCCACTGGCCCCTGAGCGCATCACTCACCTATTGAACTTTCTGTTCCTAAAGCCCCATAATGAACTTGTTATTTCTGATGTCACTTTCCCACTCTTCAAAGGGCATAAGGGGCAGGTGTCATTGCCTCAACATAATCTTTAGAGGGGCAGATGCCTTTTGATACTGGCAAATAAGCAGGCTGTATTTAGTTTTTTTCCTGTGATTTCAGTTTGCTGCCCTACTGGAAATCTGAAGTGCCTAGAGTTGTTAAAGTCAGGCTGTCTTTTTTTGCTAGAAATCAGATAGAAAAGGCTTCTCAAATAAATATTTTTACTTTCTTGTGAGGAAGGTGTGTCCACAGGCCTTAGAGCATTTTAAATCAGCAAAAAATCTTTCTAATAAAGTTGCAGTGTTGAAGAAATCATGCGTTTTCTTCTATATCTATCAACAGTTCATTTCCATTCGACCTGTTAATCTTCATTTCTCTTAAAATATTTCTTAAGGCAGCATAGCATCAGCAGAATTGTATGACAAGTCATATTTCAAGAATATCTTGCCAAATTTAAAAGACATTAGAGTAACTAGTTTCTTGCAGGAATTGTGAAAAATTTAATCGTATTAAGGCAACAGAGCAGACTTAAGTAACTGGCAGGCCAACTACTTGGTTTGGCAAAGACAATGGCAAAAACTTCTTCATAATTTCTCCTGCAGGTTTTTCACCAAGGCTTGGCCTTCACAAGTGTTATTCCATATTGAGATGTTTCATTATACAGTTTACAAATGCAGTAAACTCAAACATCCAAACATGTAGAGATGAAAAGTATGTTTCCTGCAGGCTTTGCCTCTAGCCAAGTGGACTTTTATCAGCAGATACCTATTACATACTGAAAAGGAGCAAATTACTTTTAATATTATGACAACATCTGATGCAAGACATGGTTGTCTTCCACAGCTCAATAAGTTGAATGTGAATGGACTTGACAGCATGTATTATGAAATGCATTATGGTTTGGAGGCCGGGTGTTGCCCTAACAACCAGACGATATTTCCTTAATTAAGTATAATTTTTTTTCCCTGTGTGATCACTAGAGGATTCAGCAAACTCCAGTGAATTAATGGACTGACAAATGCACATAATTCTCTGTTCTAGGTAACTGTCAGCTTCAAAAAATTTAAGCTGTCTTAAAGAAGCTGTGAATCCTTTTTTTGCAATTTATTTTCCGTATATAATAAACGATACTTATTTTAAGACTAAAAATATGTATTCTCAATTTAAAAATAATATGTATCCTATCTCTGAGTAACTTATTTATCCTTGACATATGTGTTTTCTCTCCAGTTTATTTTTTTTAATAACTTATTTGCAAAACGTGTCTTGCTTACTGAAAGATATTTTCTATCAGATTTTTCCATTGTCTGTCTGGTACTTGTGTTTCCTACACTAAATCACAAGATTTTGGTCACTGCTGCCCTTTCTTCTGCTGCAGGTTGCTGAATTTGCATATATCTGCTTGTCCCATCTGTACCCAAAGCAAGTTGCTCCAACCATGCCTTTGTAATAGACACCTTTGAAAGGAGAGCTGGGGATATGGTGACCACCAGACGTAATTGCAGCCACTGCTGCTGCCGGTGTGGAGTTTCCCGGTGCCATGCTGAGCTTCAGCTGGCAGCTGTGTATGAGCTGTACTAACACCAGTACTGGTTAAAATATGAGCTGTACTAGCAGTACTAGTTAAAATATGAGCTGTACTAACACCGCTACTAGTTAAAATAGCCCAAGTGTTCACAGGTACTGCAGTTTGATGCTCACCGAGCAGCTCATTTGGTAGACATTTATTTAGAATCATGGTGGCAATGATGTGGAGACTATTTGCTATAACTGGACAGATTTCTCTAGTGACTTTTGCTGGTGCAGAAACATAATCTAATATGTGACAAAGAAAACAAGTGTATAGGTGTCTTGCAGGCAGGATTGTTACAAAGAGGATTCATCGAGTTGAGCCTACCTACCTCCTCTTTATCATACTGAGTTCAGAGACTGCAGAATATCAGCTTCTTAAATAGGATGTGTGCAGACAAATTATTATGGGAAGGTGGCAAAAAATTAATTCTACATAAATGTGAGACAGACACTTAAGACTGGGTGTGCTGTGGTTTTTGGAAATAGTCCTTTTTAATTCACTTGTTTAATAGGTGGACTATGTCAGTATTCTCAGTGAGAATATGTCACGTTTTCCATAAATGACTCAGGGACATTTTCCATGCATTTTAGCGGCTGTAAGGTTGTAATTCTATGTGGCTACACAGATGGGTAAAGTAGAAACATTTCATATGAAGAAATACCTGAAGTTGTTTCCCTTAATTTCACTACCTTTATGACCAATACTCTAATCTAGTGCACTTGAGCACCTGTAACATCACTTGCTAAAGAGCAGAAAGTATGAAAGACAGTCCACAATCTGCAGGAGAAAGAAAAAATTGCTCTGATTGTTGTGTGACTTTGTAGAGCCAACACGGAAAACAGCTCTTTGCACCACAGAACTGAAGGGTGGACCTCTAAAATCAACACTTTGCTGAAGGCATGGGTTTACCAACATGGGACTTTGGGAAATGGGAGAACAAAAACTGAGGAATATGACAAAGATGCTTTCTCCGTAACTCTTCTGGCATGTGTTTTGTTTTGTTTCTGTTCAAAGTCTTGTTCTTGCTTTAATTTGTATGCTGTTTGTTATTGATGCCTTTGTCATGCAGAGAAGAAAAATGCTTTTAAGCTCTGTGTATGTGTTTTAAATGGGTGTTACTACCAGAATGGCTGTCAATAGCTAGTCTTACTTAATCAGCTATAAAATGTCATAAGTTAGGGTTCTTAATTGAGACTGGAAAAATCCAAGATAATTGCCATAATAGGTTGAAGATCTCAGAGAATAAAGGTTTTGAAAGTTAGAGAAAATTGGAGACATATGTGTTGTGTCTGTAAGATTGTTCTATATGGGATGTGGGAAAAAAAATGACAGGCATTTTGCAATGTACAGTGGTATTCATCGTATAAAGAGCATATGCATTTTTTGTCAAAAGCAGTGAAGTAAAAAATGACACTTAATTGGAACTGACATAAAATGGCCTCATTAGTACTACAAATAATATATGTGTGTAGCAGGGTTGTCAATAGAAACAAAACATATTTCCTCTGACAGATATATTAGTCTCTTTTAAGATTCATGTCAAGTTTTCAGCCAGGTTCACTCATTTAGACAATGCTGCTGCTCTATTTTAGTGTGAAATGTTGAACTGGAAATGGTGTGTGTTTGTAGGGTGCTGTGATAACACCAACAATGGACCACACTATGTCAATGCAGCCAGCAAGCATGATGGGCCCTCTCACCCAACAGATGAACCACCTTTCCTTGGGCACAACAGGAACGGTAAGATCATAGATTATATTATTCCATTTCTATTTGCAAAATGTTTTTTGGTTCCTGATTTTCTCAAGGTCATTTCTCAGTGTTGGAGTTTTACTGCCTTGCCTTTTCTGTGGTTTGGTGTGATTTTCCTGCATGGCTGGAGATGTCTGGCCAGCTGGTTGGGCCCGCACATCAAAGTGCTTTTCACCATGACTCGAACATGAGGTACTATGCAAACAGCGTCTTAACATCACACCTCACACAAACAGATATCTCCAGATTTGTTTCTACAGCCATTGTGCAGTTGGCATTATGGATTATGGGGAACGGAAGTGACAAAGTAATATAAGTAGTAAAAAAATAGGTCAACATAAGATGCTTTGTTCTTAGCAAGAATTATTTGTACTAATTCTTGTGTAAATATGAAAATATTCCTCTATCACTCTGGTTTTTATTGAGGGACTGTTTACTTGTGACCCTGAGAAGTTTTACACTACTGGAAAAGAGCAGTTCCTGACTTTGTGATAGGATCCAGCATTCACTTCTAGCTCATAGCAGCCGGCCTTACATAGTTTGCTCCAGGCTTAGAAATGCGATTTTGGGTCAAGGTCGGCTGGGTTTTCAGTATATTCTATTTAAACATGCATATTTCAATATTTATTTTCTCTTTAAGCTCTATAAGTCAGACCCAATTAATTCCCGCAGAGTCAGAAAAAGGCAATAAATTAATAAATAAATAATGCTAAAATTCTGTCAGACTTCCCTTAAATATTCTAAGTAGTATCAATAGCCTGCACACAATATATGGTCTCTTAATATGTGAATTGTCAAATATATATTCAGCTATATGTAAATATATATGTGTGTATCTGCTGTTTCACCACTGTACTGCTGAAACAGTTTTCCAATAATTTCTTTTGCATAAAATAAGGCCACTTCCTGACATAACTATTTAACCCATTGTAATCTGTTTTGTGCTTTATTTTTCCTTCCCTTCCCTCCTTTTCTCCTTACTTCTCTTCCCCTTTTTTCTTTGTGTTGGATTGAATTCCACCTCTAGGGTCTTCCCCCACCTCCCTTTTTAGATCTTTTTTAGATCTCAGACTTCTGGTTTTATTTCTGAAATAACTTGGATATGATGGCTCATCATTTTTCCAGTTATTTTAAATGTTTCATTCAGTAATCAAAACAAATAAGAATTACATCTCAAAGTTAATCTCAGGATATTTTCCTCCCTCTCAAGAGACAAAATTGAAGGAAATACTACGACTAGTGTAAATTTCCATAAGCGTAATTACTCAAAGGTTCAAATAGACAAGGAAATGGAAAATGAAATCTGACTGTGCTTCTGGGCAGTTCCTATGAATTTTTCCTTCTGTCTGTCATTTCCATCTCTATGATTTTTACAGGCATTAAATATTCTGTTCTTTGAAAAATATTCTCTATCAATCTTTATGAAAACTAGAAAATTCACAGGTAATATTCTCCTCCAACATCAAACTATGATTACTATCCAATAGTAAATGTAAATGTTTCTTGCTTGGGAAGGCAGGAGAAGGATTCTGAAAGGCAGTGGGTGATCTAGTGGGCCATAAAAAGATCCTGGATTTATTTTACTGCAACTATCATAAAGAAAATCTTTCCTGCTATTTCCTAGATCTTTACACAGTCTTATCATCAAAGGTCACGCCATTCCCTCGCACCTTCTTGAAATACATGCAGTAGTATATCACATAGGTTTTTGTTTGCTCTTTCAAATTCATTTTAACTCCTCCAGAGAAAATTTAAAGAGCAGAAAGAAAGAAGGGTTGACAGTTTCACACTACCCATAGGTTTTCCCCAAATCTCAGATGACACTAGTTTTATTGCATACAGGAGTTCCCATAGGTAAAAATACCGATAGCACCATATTCAGTTAAAAGCCCTTTATGCAAGCAAAATGGTGATGGAGCTCTTTGGGAGTTCCTCCTCCTGGGAATTAGAAGGAGAACTTCAGGATTTGGGCTGCCAGCAGCAGTTTTGCTGAACAGACACTTTCTAACTTGAAATTGAATATTCCTAAAATGTCCACCTCCAGAAAAAAGAAATAACAAGCTATTTAGGGATATGTCGTATTTAGAGATGATAATTTTACTTCATTCATTCTGAAGTCTGAATTTGCATCTAAAGAGAGGAGCATTCAGACCATACGGCCACAACGAATTGAACCAAGTCCGAAAAATGCTCCTGTGACTTTCTCAGCATGGCTAAATTTTATGGGAGATGTAAGACATAAACTATACATTTCCATTATGAATATATATATTTTTTTAATTTTAGCCTTTAAAACTCTGCAGCAGGGTGCTATAAAGAGCCACTAGCTATCTCTCAAGAAACGAGCCAGATGATTGTTTTCAGCAAACAAGGCAAAAAGTCATAAGCAATCCTGCTTAGTGTTGGCTGCAGCTATGCCCCAGTTTAATTTGAAAGCTTGCGCTATGCAAAGCGATTTTTATTAACTGCTTTGATACATTTACTTCCTTAGACAAACCATTTTGCTAACTAACATAATCTATTTTTCAGCCAAAACAGACCTTAGTGGTCACCTAAGTGAAAATTGACTTCAAATCCACTTCCAAACTTGCCTCATTCAGGATGGATGCCGAGCTCCTAAAATATTGCTTCAGCAGAAAATCTATTCTCTAGTGAGAGAGCTAGTGAAACGCCATAAAGGCCTTTGCAAGCCTCATATCTTGTGGGAATTACTCTTTTAATGCTCTATAAGAGATTAAAGTATTTTGGAGTGTTTCCAGAGGGGAGACCCTTCACAGAGGAGCTCTCTCCAGCCCTTTGCTTAGGATAGTCGTCTGAGAAGGGTTGACCTCTTCCAATTCCTGTCTTAACACCAGCAGTGAGATTTGAGTTGCAATTACGCGGCCCTGAAGCCTCAACCCCCCACCAGGGACTCTGGGGACAGCTGCTGCCTTCCAACACTTGGTTATTTAGCTGGGGACATGGCAAGGGGCACTGCAGCCTCATCGCTCATGTGGACCACTTGTTTATTGCTGGGGGCATCATGTTGCCCAACCAAAAAAAGATCAGGTTTCTTACAGCCCCCCTCATGCCATGGGAAACCTTGAATCACTGGCCCCAGGAAGCATAAGAAGCTTCATTTAGGAAATCATTTGGAATGAACAGCAGCAGAAAGCTAGCTTTCTTTCCAAACCCCCCAAAGAATGCCTTTAATTTAATTTCATTTAATTGTTTTATCTATTTTATCTATTTTTGCATGTTATCTATTATGATCTACTAATGAATTGTCTGCATGAAGTCAGACACCTCTGCTACGCAGAGCACTCTGAGGATAAGAAGGCACCAAGACTATCAGGATGCCGGGCCAAGAGAGCAAGGGCAGACCCAAGTCCTTTCTGCCTTTATGCAGATCAAGCTGATTTCTGCCAGTGGAAATACCATTTGCAATCTGGATGAATTTGGAGGCAAGCGTGCCACTCAGACCACCTCTCCAAAGATGCCCAAAATGGGGAGTTAAGCAGAGAATCTGCCAGAGGGGCAAGTTTGGCCTTATTCCTGCATATTTTTCATATATACCTCTTATTTTTAGAAGAGCAGAAAGCATTTACACAGATAGGCTGGCTCTGAGCAAATACATAAAGAAAACCTAAGCTTAAATAATGTCAAGATTATATCAAAAAGGCGATAACTCTGAATATTTTGATTAAGGCTTACAAGCCAGTCTCAGCTCCCACAATTGTATTAAAATGAAAATTTAATGCCCAGGGGCATAATGTGAACACAGAAAACTTGCTTTAATCTTGAAATTTTTATTTTGTTTACTAGTTTATTATTATTTATTACAGTAAGTTTTGCTTTTCTTATGTAATATTCATCTACAATTAGGTCTGCTATTAAAAAGATACCATACAAAGGGAGCAGAGTGAGTGGGTCTGTATGGGAAGCCCTGAAAGAACAGCGTTAGTATGTGCTTAATAATACATAGAAGCTGGAATTGTTCCATCATCAAGCTGTCATTCAAAATGTTTCTAATACATCAATTGATCTGACATCTGTTTTGTGGTTTAATAAAGTTGTGATTGATGGCCTGAGTGGATATAATATAAAAACCTTTAGAAATATAAAAACTGAGCAGCCTGGTCACTGCTTTCAGTCTCTCAGCGCAGCTCCTTTTTTGCTGTGGCACTTGCATGTTTGGCTGTCAGCAGCAATAATTTGCCTCTTAAATGGAAAGCAGATTTGCTGTACTCTTTCTCCTCTGTTGCTCATTCCTGATGGAAGTTTTCTGTTTAGGACTTTCTTGTTTTGGGTTTCTTTCCCCTCCCAGCTGTTAATGTCCTTTTCTGATACTGCCTGGAGCCACTCTTATCCAGCAGATTGCAGCAGCCTTTCTTAGTCCATGGTGGTAGATCGGTAATTCCAGTATTTTTTTTTCCTGTTTGAAATTGCCTTAGTCTTATTTCATCTTAAATCTTTGAGGCCCACCAGAATGGGGAGAATAAGTAGAAGCCAGGTTTTTACAAAAACTGACAGGTGAACAGTGCTGCCTCTTGTTCTTCATGCTTGCAGCCAGCTCACTGAGCTCTCAGCTTCTGATTTAAAAATGTAACGGGCAACATACAAAATAACCTTGACTTCCCACTTTTTAAACCACCCTCTCTCCCCAGTTAAAAAAAAAAAAAAAAGTAATTATTCCATGTACCTCTGATTTAAAAATGCAGTCAGGTAGAAGAGCAGCATTAATGAAATGTGGGCTTCTGTTGAAATGGCAAAGCACTCCAGCTCAGCTTCCCTGGTTTATCGTATCACCAGAAATCTCTCAATGGAATAACAGCTTTGTTATGCTGGTACATCGTTCTTATCTCGTACTTTGTTAGCTCTTTTTGTTGCCAGAAGAGCTTGATGATATCTCTAGAACCCTTCAATGGAAGAACAAGCTTGTTAAAAGTTTTTTATCTTTTATTTCTTTTGGATATACCATGGTCACCGGTGGTTTAAAATGTCACCTA